TCCAGTTCCACTTTACTCCTTTTTTTTAAAGTAGATCATTCAGTGAAGCTCTCAAATTATGCATATTATGTCTATATATTTGATAGTAATTATCCAATCCAAGAAAAGCTTTTATTGTAGTTATGTTTGTTAGTGGAGCTATATTTTTAATTGCACTTGCCTTTGATAGATCTGGTTGATGACCATTTTTATCAATAATTTGACCAAGGTATTTAATTTTCAGCAAGAACTATTCACATTTTTTTTTCACCAAGGTTGAATCTGTACTCTCTAATTTTTCCCAAAATTGTTTTCCCATGCCCAACAGGTTGTTCTTTAGATACACTTTTGATTAAAATGTCATCCAGATATGCCACTGCGAAATCATGACTGGCAAATATGGTAACCATAGCTTGTTGAAAAATAGTGGTGCCACCTTTTATACCAAAAGGATGTCAGTTAAACTTATATAATCCTCTCTGCATATTTATGGTCATTAATTTTGAACATTCATTTTCAATCTGAATTTGTAAATACACTTCAGATAGATCCAACTTTGAAAATATTCTTCTGCCATTTAACTTCAATAAAAATTTCCACTGGACTTGGTAATGGTTGGTTATGTGTTTCTGAAATTGTAATTCATTCTTAGACAATTTTGGGAACGATAAAATTACCAAAATGATAAATGAAACATGACAACAGTGGAATACCAAAAGATTTCATACTCGTAAATCTATCCACATATTGATACCCAAGAAAAAACAAACAAGTGTAAATGAATAACTCCATTAGACAATCAATTTGATGAGCCACGTAACTATACCTATCATTAGGTCTCTAATGCATAGAGCTCATAACAAAATTAAACCAGAAATAGGGCAAGAATAGTAAGGCTTTATTCAAAACACAAAACAAGAAATGTTATTTTTATGATCAGAATATATCAGGTGAGCAATACAAATGCATAAAAACCTGTGTTTCATAGATTACACAAAGGCATTTGAAATGGTATGACACAAAGACTTACCTGAAATACTAGATAAGCTTGATTTACATTGGGAAAATGTTCAAGTAATCCATAACCTTTACTGGGAGCACAAACAGCCTGCATACGGATAAAGAATGAGTTCATTGAATACACAAATATAAAAGAGTAAGACAAGGACATATTTTCTTACTGATTTAACCTATGCAACAAGACAACCCTAATGAAATAAAACACCTACCAGCATTTATTATTGGCAGACATAATCTTAACAACATAATATACATGGATGATGCTGTGTTTATAGTATACGCAGAAAAAAATTGAAAGTACTTTTAGCCAAAGTCGTAAAGGAAAGCAAAGAGAAAGGACTATTAATTGTAAGAAGACAATGCACGGTTATCAACAAAAGAAGGGGTGAAATCTGTATTAGAGGCATTACAATCATATAAGTACATAAATTTAACTACCCATGTAGTGTTGTAATAGATTATGGAAAATGTGAGACGGAACTTCAAGGGCACATAGAAATAGCAGAAATGCCTTTCAGAAACTAAACAAAGCAATGAAAGATAGGAAAATATACTTAGAAGCATCAAAAAGAGTGCTGAACTACTGTGTAATATCTAATTTCCAATATGGCAGTGAATGCTGGACAATCTCCTCATAAATGAACAACAGAATTGTGATTCTATCAACAAATACTAAGGATAACATGGACAGAGCATGTAAGTAACATGGAAGTTTTAAGGAAGATAGTACAATGAAACTGGTACTTACAATCAGAAAGAGACAGCTGACATTTTGGGAACACAATGAAGCAAGAGGGCCTGGAGAATTTAACATTCACAGGACATATTCAAGGCAATAGAACCAAAGGGAATCAGCAAGTCCCCCTTCCGAACAACAGGTTTTTGTGAATGGATGGCAATATAAAACAGGGGGATGGTAATTTGTCAAAAGTTACTTAGAGTAATAAAAGACATGAAATTGTGGACAAACGTGATTACTCATGTCCTTTCAGGATATGTCATATAAAAGTAGTAGTTTTTATGATTTTGCCAGTCTAATAGTTATTTCATATAGATATTTATTACTTTTATTTGATTAACAACTGCCTATTAAATAAAAGTAAGGGAAAATAATTATGGCTTGACCTACTATAAATTTGATTGTTCATATAAATCTTTTTAAAGGTAACTTTTCTAGTCATGAATATTTATATTCAAGATTCAAAAGATCACAAAACCTTATTTCTCAGAGAGATATAATTTTACTGGGATTTAAAAGCAGTTTGCTAGAATTTGAAAAACAATTATATCTAGGTTTTAAGATAAACAGATTAAATTAATTATATTTATGAAACATTTGCTTTTCATAAAGTTTGTCTCTTCAGTGTATAATAATCCATACTTCGGTTTATTGTTTTTTTTAATTTTCAATTCCTTTTTATAAATACAGATACAAAAAGTGGATTTTATGCAACTTTATTTTAAAACTGTTACACTTTTCTTTTCTTTTTTTTTTAGTTTAAAAATATTACTTGAATATCAGGATGAATGATATTAATTTATTTGATTGAAAATACTTAAACTTTTTGACCTCATTAGATAATTTTCTTAACCTTTTAGAATGTAGTCACATACAATGTTTATTTCCTTTATTTTCTAACCATTGTAACCTGTATATATTGTTTTTGTGAATAATATTTGCAGAGTAAATAATTGTATTTTAATTTTTTTAAATTATTTTTTACAATACTTTAGCTTTAATTTAGATGCATTTAAAATGTATATACTATTTTATATCTCGGCTATTTTTTATTAAAAATGTCTTATTTGTTTAAGTGATTTAAAGAATGGTTTATTTACGTTAGCCACTTTTGTGGAATTTAATGGTGATCTAATAAAGCTTAAAACTGCATTTATTTGTGAAACCACAAGAATTTTGCTGAATCCTGTTTTTTCTATCTCTAGGTTTTATCACTAACTTTTCACTTCAGATTTTATTATGCAAGTCATTGCTTGTCACAGCAAGAAATCAACAAAATGTTGATAAAATTTTCAGGATATGTTTACATGAAGTAGAGTTGCACTAATTAATCAGTTGATAATTGGTAATTTAATTACTTTCAATAAAGATTGAAAAAACAATGAAAACTATTATTATAGATTATATTATTTAAATTTGTTCTATATCTAAGGTAATTGATGATTCTTAAGTTATGGAGGAAATATGTGTGATAAACAAGGATGACCAAGTATGAAAACTGATTAATTGGTGTAATCCTAATATGAACAGTCTCTCATTTGAGTTTCTGCTTATAATATCTATCCTTGTTGAAAATGTTGATAATAACTTCTCTTAGTTGTGTTAGTTTTTATTATGCAAAAAAATTATGTGCATTATGACATAGGCAACAGAAACATATTAACACAATATTCCATATATCCGAATAAATTTATTATTTTACATCTTAATATGGGTTCTTTATTGTTCTATAACCTTCATCAGTCTTTCATTCATTGATTTTATTGACTTAATTACTGTTTCAACTTTAACATTACTTGTAGCTGTTTTTAATGCTTTCCAAAGTTCTTCTTTAGTTAAACATACTATGATCAGTTTTTGGGATTCATCTATTTTAACATAAGTTTTCTATTTGATTAATATCTAAAGAAAGAAAAAAATTCCATTAATGTGGTATCTTTGTAGCTACGTGGACAGTTTTGCAAAATGTGAATGAGCATTACCTTGCATGAATATACTCTATAACTTAAACTGCCCCACTATTGTGTTGTGTTTTGGTTGTCAATTAATGTAGCTCTATGTTCATCACTAAAAATTACTTCATCCAACCTACATATTTGTCTTTGTGATGTTTAGTATTTTTTTTTTTTTTTTTTTTTTTTTTTAAGCGTTTCACCCCAAGCAAGGTGGGAAGCCACTAGCAACGCAAGGGGTTACAGAGAATTGGATCGAGAGCAAATAGGAGTGATAGAAGAAAGGATGAAGAGAAGGATAGGGAATAGATCAAGGCATCTGGAAATGTCGATTGACATTACATTTGAATAGTTGGAGATTATAGGCGAGAAGTGCGAGACATGAAGCTATTGGAGTAGAAGAGACGGCTACATTTAACTGTTTCGACAGTGAAAGTGTGAGAGTGAGATGCCAGCTTAGTAGAACACTTAAATTCATGAAGTTTGGGAACTAGCGAAAGCAGCTCCTCAGAGCAATTACCATGAAAGTATTTGTAAAATTGACAGGGAGGCGACGGCATGTCTGTGAGAGAGTGACTGTTGACAGGATGCCAGATCAGGGCCAATTACATTGCATATCCATCTCTGGATTTTATCAAGAACCTTGAGACAAACATAAGGAGCACCAGACCATATATGGCAGCAATACTCCTTGCAAGGGCGAATGGTTGATTTGTAGATTTGAAGGATCGACTGCGGCGAGAAAGATTTGCTGTTAATGGTGATAATTTGGTTGTTTTTATATTGTGGCGTATGTTTCTAATACTCTACATATTTTCTTTCACTTTGCATTCATAGCACCTGCTTCTTCAAATGTTTTCTTGCTGGTCAATCTACTTTTCTTGTTTATTACCATTTTAATTTTTTGTGTTCCCATCACTCAATAAATTTTTAATATCTTGTTTCTCTTTTAAGTCTATCATTCTTATGACCATAGCAATTTTCATATATCTGAAATTAACTATATTATTATAATATTTATTTATAATATGATCAGTTGCATATATAAATCTTAGATCACTAAATAAGTTATTGTAAGTATATGTAATAAAAACAGATAAGCTGAATTAACTTGGTTTATCATAAATATATCCTGAAAATTTTATCAATATCATTTGCTTAATTTATTGGGCAAACTTTGATTTATATAATCAAATTAGAAATAATGTTTTAAATAATTATTAATAACTATCCAGTATACAATTCTTGCCTATTTCTGTTGTAAAGTTGTAATATACTTTATCACATTTTTTTTCTTTTTAATATTCCAGATACAAGTTTATTTTCAGTTGCCTCAGCTGTTTTTCAGCCGGTGTCTTCTTGGCCACATGCCTCCTTGATTTGTTCCCTGATGTGCAAGAGAAACTCTCTGATGTCTTGATTGTCATGAATATCCAGACAAGCTTTCCTGTGCCTGAGTTTGTCATGAGTTTCGGCCTTTTTGTCATTTTGATTATTGAACAGATTGTTCTGTCCAGCAAAGAAAAAAACTTTAGCCATAAATCAGTGAAAAGACCTCTGTTAGCTGACAGACAGGAGAAGTGTATTGATAGTGATGCCATTTCTTTCAAAAGTGATTTAACAATCAGTGGAATTGAGGATGATATTGTAAGAGTGAACCAACGCATTTCTGCAGTTGGTAGTTCAGTTAACTCTATAAATGACTCGGATAGTGAAAAAGAATCACTAGTTACCACTGAAGAAGGTGGGTACACACATCAACATGGATGGAACACAAGTGAGCACTCTCAGTCTGTTTTGCGCTCTTTGCTACTTCTGTTAGCATTATCTTTACATTCTGTCTTTGAAGGCTTGGCTGTTGGTCTAGAACGCAAGACCAGCAGTATACTGACCATCACAATAGCACTAGTGTTACATAAATGTGTCTTGAGCATGAGTCTTGGTGCCAACTTAATTCGCAGTAAACTCACTTATGGTAATATCATTAGATCTGTGTTGTTTTTCTCTGTAACTGCTCCTATTGGCATTGGTATTGGACTTCTTATTGTTGACTTCTGGGATTCAACATATTCCAGCTTGACACAAGGACTGCTTCAAGGAATTGCATGTGGAACATTTTTGTATGTGACATTCTTTGAAATCTTCCCAAGTGAGTTCAATAAGAAAGGTGATCGTTTGTGTAAACTATTATTTGTGCTACTTGGGTTTTCTACAGTTTCCATTATTCTTTTCTTTCATAATGAAGCCCCGTCACCCATCCATCCTTGTTCTAGAAATGGTCAAGGAATTCATAGTTCAAAAACACATGATTGAATGCATATTAGCTATATTCATTGCATGTTACTTCCTATATTCATTTTTTTAAGGTCTGATTTCCTTTAATCAAACTAATATGAAAAAAAAATAGATGATTAACTTGTTCTGATATTACCAATTTAAAGAAAAATATATTTTATATATTTGCTATATATATATATATATATATATATATATATATATATATATATATATATATATATAGTACCATTGGCCTTTATTTAGGGGCCTTGAATTGCTTTCTGCTATTTTTAGTCAATATTTTTTTATCTAAAAAAGAAAAAATTAATAAAAATATTGATGATCCAGTAGTGAATTTTATAAATATTTTATTTATCATAGATTTGTTTTTGTAAATATAAATCACAAATTTGGATCATCTATAGTATTATTAAAATTTAGATTTTTGAATTTTCTTTTTCAAATTCTAATTATTTTTTTACTAATTCAGTTTATACAATCAATTCCTCTTTGGAAGTATAATGACTTAAACTGAATTTGTAATAGGAAATGCCAACATATCTCAGTTGCTATTGTATAGCATTTGTGATGTGAAAACCTTTCTATTCATGTAATATCTTCTGTGATAACATTATTGTAAGTTTGTGCATACATATGCAAATTAATCTATCAGACATTTAAAAATCTAATGTAATGAAAATTAGGATTTTAAAACGTCATAAGGATATTCATTTCTGGTTTATGATATTTCATACTTTGCATAATGTATAACACTTTCCTTTTCAAAACAAAAAAATATTAAGTTTCTTCAGTTTATTTTGGGTATATCAATGGGGTCTTGAAAACACCTTTTCTTTCACCATTGTTAGCAATGGTTGAGCCTAAATATTAGTGAATCATGAATTGCAAAGACTAAAAAAAAACATTTAAGGTCTCTAGATTTTGTCTATAGTGAAACATAATATATCAGAAGTATTAAACAAGCCACAATGAAAAAAATATCCCTCCTCCCACCAAATACTTAAATTTTAGTGCAGGAAATTTTTATCAACTTAAAAATATTCCCCTTAAAGAAGTTTTACATATTTAACAAAATAATATTTGAAAGGTCCATTTTACCATTTTTATATTTCAATGTTATGATTTATACAAAAATGAATCTTGCATAATAATCTTATTACTAAAATTTTTTTGCTGTTTTTGTTAAATTGAATCCTTTATGCAAAAATTATTCTCCAATTAGACTTAATAACATATGAAATAGGAGATAGATTTTATTTCTAGTCGCATTATTCACAAGTGATTTTTGTAATTGATCTAATTGTTCTTGTATAAATTGCTTTTTATATAATTAAGAATAAATCAATTAAGTTGTACTTCTGATCTTTATAGCAAGCATCTTTGGCATTATATCTTTTTAAAAAATTAAAGAGATATTAAGGGAGACATAAGTTTTTTATCAATTTTATATAATCCAAATTACATTCTGTGCAAGTAAAATCTCAGTTGTACTTACCTTTATCTGATTGAAAATGTATCTCTGTATATACTTCTGGCTTAATGGGCAATGACAGTTGTTTATTTTTCAGAGGTTGGTCTCCATGCTCAGATGAAAAAAACGGAATTTCAAACATTGATTTTTAAAAGATTGAAAAGCAATTTGGTGCAACATAATCTTCCTAATGCCATTTTATCTTGATAAAATAAACTTAGTAAATATCTATTTTTTCAAAAATTTCATTCATTAAATTTCTGTAACTTTAATAAACATTTATTAAATATTCTTATCTATTTATTAAATATTCTTATCTATTTAGGTGTAAAGACAAGTACTTTTCTCTTTTATTATTGTATTTAGATTAAGTTTAAATTAGTTCTTGTATTATTGCTTAATGCAAGCATTAATTTACAAATGAAATTTACTTGTAACTGTCATAATTTATATTCTAAGTTTCTTGACTGTTAAGAAATTGATCCAGATATCCATATTTTAGTTCACACTTTAAGCCCATAAATCAATTTGAATGTCATTTTCTTTTTTTAACATAAATCCTCTTTGCAATTGGAACAAGATCTGTGATGCTGAAAAAAGGTGAGGTTCAAATCAACTAACCTCAAATAACAAGAATTGTTAATGGTGGTATGAAGACTAAAGATTAGGTTAATGACAAAGTAACAGAATGCTCATTATTTCTAAGATTAAGAGGAGTCATTTTCATGAAATTTTACCTCCTCTTTTATTTATTCAATTTTTTTTTTTTTTTGTTAAACATCTAAGTTTTACTTAAGTTTGTTCATATTTCCATAGGCAATATGAAATCACAACCCAAGTAATGTTGACTTTATTCAAAATGTTTTGAACAATTTCTTACACATTTAGTGCTTATACAAAAATAACCTAGAGTATCATCCCTATAGCATATTAACTGCATTCTACTTTTTTTCTTCTACAAAAACTTTAGTTTATAATTCAATACACATGTGGCAGCATCACAAATAAATGTCATAGCAATTGTGCATTTTTTCCTTCTTTTAAACTACAACTATAAATTTCTGATGCTCGGAAATCAGTAATATTAAAGGAATAACATTAATTTCCATGAAATCTCTTTGAGAACAAAATCTTTATTTTGACTGTAACTATTGAAATAAACAAAATTTGTATAAATTGTATATAAGTAGAATTTTATTTCCCTTAAACTTGTACTTAATCAAGTATGAGAATATAAAACTAATTTTTATTATATTCTTGTTACTCATTATTAATTATAACTATTTATATGTGATATTTGTATTTAAAATCAATGTTTACTGTATGCAATATTTTGTAATTCCTATCATCTTTGATTCTTGATTTCTCTAACATTTTCTCAGGTCATTCTTCTTTTAAATAAGTAAAATTTAATCAAAGCTAAGTTATAAGTATAATTATCTTTCAAAATTTGAATTAATATATTTTGAGTAAAATATTTCTATTTGTACTGCTGAACAAATGTATAACATAATCTGCTTATTTCTAAACCTTCCAATTGCTCTCTTTCTCCAGTGCATTTGTGTTATACACATTGGCTATTAATGTGTGTTTAATAACACAATGTCATAACTTTGTATCACATTGATGATACAAGACTTAAAATATTTTGGAAATTTTTCATTTCATTATATTTCAATATCTTTTTATAGCTAGCATAATCAAATTCTTCAAATAAATTTTCTGATTTTTAAAATCATTTTGTTTCAATTCACATTCTTGTATTTACAAATAAATTCAGTATTAGTTTTCTTACTATAAAGCATTTTGTATTTAAATTATGCAAAGTTCAATTTTATCTCATAAAATTGAATTTTTTTTCTGCTTCCAAAACTTTTTAAAATTATCACATTGATGATGATTCAAAAATATGACTACCTTTCATTCATTAAACTATTGATATAATATACTTGACCTTGCACCTATTTGGAATTTTATTGGACACTTTAATAGATTCCAAAATGAAAAAAATACTTTAATTGCAACTGATTTGATTTATGTTCCCACAAATTTTTGAATCAAACAAAAACAAAGTTTTCATAAGTTTAATTTTAAAAGATTAAATTTATATTCTCAATTTTACAGATTCATTTGTATTTTTTCTATAATCATTCTATTTTTATATGTCAGTTGAAATTAAACATGATTTGAAACATTTTTTTTTACCTACCTACAATTATGAAATGTGACTCTTGAAACTATAAATATTGGTACTTCTAATTGATGAGATGTTTTATTAAAACAATTTAATGCCAAATATCATCATTCATCTTCAAATTAAGACATTATTTTAAAATGTTCCCTCAGTTTATGCAGACATTTAAATTAATTTCATAATTATTAAAATATTACCAGAAATTTTTAACATAAGCAAAAAATTAAAAAGCATTTAAATACTCCAAAAAGAAGTAATCATTTATAAAAAAAAACAAAAAAAAAACAGTTTGGATCTATGAATCTGAAATTGAGAAAACCATTTCTTTTACTCATATTTTAAATCAGAATTTACAAATTCCAAAATGTGTAAATGTTAAAAATTCTGGTTATTTTCTTCTAAGGAAGAACTATTTGGCTTCTTCCACACTTGTTGATTGATAGAAAACTGTATCTTCATCCCCAGGTTGCTTGCAGCACAACCTTTGGCCAGTG